TTGCCAATTCCTTCAATGCAACTTGGATTTCTTCCTTCAGTATCATTGGCTCTTGATCATATGCTACCTCTTGAAATGGTTGAACATCAGCTATTTCCTTTTGATATAGTGACTCTGTGTATTCCTTCCATCTTTTCTTGATGCATTCTGCATCATTCAATAATTTGCCCAGAGAATCTTTCAATAACGAAAGTCGAGGGTTGAACTTTTTCTTTAGTTCCCTCAGCTTGAGAAATGTTGAGCATGTTTTTCCTTTTTGGTTGTCTGACTCCAGATCTTTGCACATTTCGTTGTAATATTTGACTTTGTCTTCTCGAGCTAACCTTTGAAATTTTCTGTTCAGCTCTTGTACCTCATTTCTTCCATTTGCTTTAGCATCTCTACGCTGGAGAGCAAGTTTCAATGTCTCTTCTGACATCCATTTTCACCTTTTCCTTCTTTCTGGTCTTCTTAATGACTTTTGGCTTTCTTCCTGTATGATGTTCTTGATGTCATCCCACAACTCTTCTGGTCTTCAGCTTTCATTGTTTAATGTTTCAAATCTGTTGTTCAGATGATCTTTAAATTCAGGTGGGATATATTCAAGGTCATACTTTGGCTCTTGTGGACTTATTTTCATTTTCTTCAACTTCAGTCTGAATCTGCATATGAGTAATTGATGTTCTGTTCCACAATTTGCCCCTGACCTTGTTTTGATTGATAATTTGGAGGTTTTCCACCATTTAATTCCACAGATGTAGTCAATTTGATTTCTGTGTATTCCATCTGGTGAATTCCATGTATGTAATCATCTCTTATGCTGTCTAAAGAAGGTATTTGAAATGAACAAATCATTGGTTTTGCAGAATTCTAACATGTGATGATCACAGCCTTGGAAACCCCCTGGGGCAGTTGTCTTCTGTCCTAAAGGTGCTATGATTCAGGATCAACTTGATAGCAATGGGTCTGTGGAAAATAGTTGCTGATAAAAAGGTAAATGACATTTACTATAGTTGTTAAGTGCCTTGGAGTCGATTCTGACTCATGGCGACCTGTATAGAGTTTCTGAGGAGCAGCTGGTGGATTTTAACTGCCGACCTTGTGGGTTGCATTCCAGTACTGATCCATCAGCACCACACAATAAGTCCAAATTAAATTTAAGATTTTCTAATTACTGGGTACTCAGGAATCTCATCAATGAACCACCAAAAGCTAAAATTTCAGAGAAATTTTTCCATTGTAATTTTTACAAACATGGCATTTCACCCTTAAATATTTAGCAAATATGTTCTAAAAAAAGGACACTCTCCTATAGAATCAGAAAACCATTATCACACCTAAGAGAATGAACAATATTTCATCATATCATTCATACTTAATCATAGTCAAACTTGTCTGGCTTTTCCAAATGATTTTCTTTATAAATAAATGATTACTATGTCTCTTTCAATGTAGTCTGATTTAGAGCCTCTCGGTCCTTTTTTTTTTTTTTGCTTCATACTGACTTTTATTAGGTATCCAGGCCAGCTGTCTTCTAGAATATGTAACAATCTGCATTTGTCTTACTGTATTTTCACAATACTGATGACATCCTACCTATCCTCCATATTTCTTGCAAACTATACATAAGTTAATCTTAACAGTCATTCTTGATTATCCACATACATCATATTATACATGTAGTGCAGTGAATGATGTAATATGTCTTTTCTAGTCAGAGTCTTTGTAACACCCACCAAGTGTCACTTTTCTGATTGATGTGAGTAAGAAAACATGGGTAAAGATGTTGATAGGATATGATTCTGTTATGAATGACTATGAATTATGGTTGCAAAAACTTGAAATAATAATGTGGAGATTGGTCAATTTTGCTCCTAGTGTGGCACTGTAGCATTGGACCACTAAGTGCAAGGTCAGCGGTTCATATCTACCAGCTGCTCTTGCAAACCCTATATAGGGATGTTATACAGCCAGAACCAACTCAACGGCACTTAACAACAAGCTGGTATAAAACAAACAATCTCAGAAGCAAGAAAGAAGATCTTACGACCGTGAAGAAAGAAAAGCCAAGGGTGGAGCACATCCTTTGGGTCTCAAGTTCCCTATCCATTAAACCTCCTGGATGTAGGGACAGAAAGCTGTGACACCAGAGGCGTGGCAGTAGGTGAGTGGCAGAGAAGTGGCAGCAGCAGAACCAAGATCCAGAGCACGAGGCAGAGCAGTGGGCCTCCTGGCAGTGTGCCTTTGGACAGGAGGCTGACCTGTCAAGTGGGATTCCTTCACGCACTTTTAGGGAGCTAGACTTGCTGACCCACGATGCTAGAACAGAGTGCCTTTGCACTGAGGTTTACAGCAGAGGGCACTGCTTTTTGGGCATTTATCAGCAGTTCTAAAAAAGTTTTGTAATATTGTCTGAGCAGGGCAAAGGATAGGCTTATGGACTGAGGATCAGAGGGGCCAACCTATGGATACAGCAGAGAAAAAGCTGTCCTGACCAAAGAAATGTACCTTGAACATTTCTAATCCTGAACTATATAACATGGCAACTTCCCTAAATAACCTCATAATCATCAATATTGTCTTTTGAGTTCTGTGTGGCTATTGCAATGAACGTGGTTATGTGCCATGGAGTCGGTTCTGACTCATAGTGACCCTGCACAGGGTTTCCAAGTCTGTAAAACTTTACGGGAGCAGAAAGCCTCATCTTTCTACCACGGAACTGCTGGTAATTTCTAACTGCTGGCCTTAAGGTTAGCAGCTCAACTCGTAACCACTACAAATCCTGATACAGGGATGCTTAGTCAGAATGGACCCCACGGCACATAATGACCACCACCGTTGCAATGAACACTCCAGTAGAGCTAAGAAGTGGAGCGTTGTGGGAGGAATGGTTGGTTCCAGAATTGGTAAGGTTGGAGGGTAGAGGCTGATGGTACTTCTCCTCCTCCCACCTTGTGAAGCGGGAGAAGGTCAGATGCTGCCTCCACATCATTTGGACAGTACTACATGATGAAACAGTGGATTGACACAGTGGCAGAAACAATGAGGTCAAACAAACATAACAATTGTGAGAATGGCACAGGACCAGGCAGTATTTCATTCTGTTGTGCACAGGGTGTGAGTCAGAACTGACTCCACAGCACCTAACAAACAACATATTATTATTTTCTACGTC